CCAAAGCTCCAAATTTTCACTTACCCTCTAGCCATGACAAGTGAAAACTGAGCCCTCGCAAGATGGCCGAGACAGGAAGCTGGATAGAACAAGTGCATGTCCTATGAATGTGACAACTCTCATAGTGATATGGGTAGGGATCAGAGTAGATAGAACTGACGAGAGAATAAGAATAAGGGTAAATATAGGGGATATTTGGAAGATGTGATGGCAGTCATAGGTTGAGAGCAGCTAATGTGCCCTTGGCAATAACTGCCTATCATTGCTGTCCAGGTTACTCAAAATGAATATTTAGAATGTTGATGATGTTTCGCCAAGGGCTAGGTAGACATTTAGAACAACATTACATTACTAGACATACTGCGTATTTTCTATGGACTCCGAAACATCTCCACAATAAAACTTCTAGCTCCATGCCCTGTAATTTCGCATTCCTTTCGTACATGGAATTCCACTTCCCTGTAATTCTCTCTTGCCTCAGATTTTTCACCAAGAATGCCATTATATAGAAATTCCCTGTTTCATCTTGAAATGTACCCACAGAAACTCTCTCACTCTGGCCAGGCAGATCTATCTCATATAGCAAATTTAATTACAGATGGTTGGATAAAAACACAGAATTAACCAAACACATTTCTCTCACCTGTAGAGACTTGTCCCGATACTTGCAACTGAATGGCTTTAATAATCAACCTTCTATTCTGCAGGCTGCTACCCAATGGCCCACCTGGTTCAGAAAAGTATGTCTCAAGGGGCAATCCACAAAGGGTCCACCTTTCAAATTTACCAAGCACTCTATGCTTCGCAGTGAAAACATCTTTCCCCTACCTGAACCGGTGACAGAAAGATACAGGGGAGATACTTTCCCCAAGAAGAATGGCAAGTCATCTCGGAGACCAATGCTGTACTTTCCATATGTAATACCCATAAAGTTCAGGGATGCAATACTCTCTTCCGATGGTACCTTATGCCAGTATGCTTACATCAAATGAAAGTTTTCCCACCCAACCAACACTGGAGGGGATGCGGAGGCTGGGGTATACTATCATCTGTGGTGGATACTATACTAGACACAGGTAGTTGCATCAGTGGTGGAATTGCCCTCTGCTGCGGCCTTACTGGACACAGGTAGTTGCATCAGTGGTGGATTTGCCCTCTGCTGCGACCTTACTGGCTTTCACGGGCCCTGGATAAACCACTACATCTTGATCTATGGACTTTTCTCTTTTCCAGACCCATTGAAGGTTTTCAGTGAGCTGTACATAAGCTTATTTTTAAAGTGTCCTTATCTGCCAGAAAAGCACTGGCTCGGCATTGGAAACAACCAACACTACCATCTCATAGCAAATTCAACAATGTTTTGGCTGAAGATAGAGACATGAAACAATTCACATGACTCTCCACAAAGATACTATAACATTTGGTCATCATGGATTCAATATCTGCTTCCTCCGTAATTGAGTGGTTTGCGGTTCCTACGGTGGAATTTTCCTCTCTGCTCTTCTTCTTCCCTCATTCTCCTTTTTTTAAATGAATTATTTTATTATTTATAGATTGTCTGGTTCTCCAATTGAGAACATATTATTGCACGAATAAATTTTGTTATCATTTTGTCTGTATTGAAGAAAAATGCAAACACTAAAGCAAAAAAAAAATGTAAATAAGTGTCAATTCCACATTTTCAAGTCCAGATGAAGAGGCTGTGATCTCTGAATCCTGAGAAGAGCCACAGTTTAGGTGGCTCCCAAACTGTTAAAAAAAAGAAAAGAAAGGAAAACGAGGGTATAGCCTATAGTCTGCTGGCACCATAAACACAAAGCTTCAGTGGTTACGCTGCATAGAATATCACTTTTAATAAATAATTTGCTTTAATTATCTGTAGATGAGTTTAATGGGGGTTCCTTTTAAAAGTAGTTATGGTAGATCTGAGATGACCTATTTTGGTAATATTTCTGTGGGCATTTATAAACACTGCAACATTACAGATTAACAGCAGTGGCCTCTATTTATTTTCAAAGGTATTTAACATTCAGCAAATGTTTTAAGGTTAGGAAGAAAAACAAATACAACGAAAAAACACTCAAAGCATAAAAGACAAAAGCCTGCGAAGAAGTTAATTATTGTCTGCGATTCTTCTGTATATCAGCAGAGAAAACTTGCACGTCCAACGCTATAGAAGCCGCGTTGATTCTCCTGTAGGCCCAGTCTGCAGATATCTGTACGAGAGAAGTTCTGCAGCAAACCAACAACCACTGTGCAGCTATCAGATGCTGCCCTTTAATGTTGGTCTGGGATGTAATGATGTGAGGTATAATCAGTCTTCAATGTCGGCGTCTGTCTGTGAACTCAGCAGAGGTACTGCAGCAGGGGTCCTTTGACGTTTAGCTATAAACAAACTCTGAAAAGGTTTGGAGCTTCCAAATAATAAGATTTCCTGCACTAAAGAAAAAAAAATCATCAAATTAGATTTTCCAACGCTGCTGTCAATGTTTACAGAAAGGTATTATTAACATATTCAAAGCGCCTTTTCTGCAAAGCTACCGGAATTCTGCAAGGAACTGAACTTCATTAAGGTTCTTCCGACATCTCGATCCAAAGTGATCAGATTTAACCTTTAAAAACAAACACTTATTAAAAAACAAACAAATGGTGCGCGCTATAGGGTGGCAATTATTTTGATACAGTCCTGTAATACTGACTGCATCAAGAGTTGGGGGCCATTTTTCACGTCATTTGACATTAAACCATGGTTGAGGACACTATGCCTCGCTGGAGTAAAGTATGTAATGGTGGAAAAGAATTGTGAGAGAAGACTCACAATATTTGTTTTTTTTTCCTCTTTTTAATAAAATTGCTCTTGATTTCAACAAAATCTATCGCCAAAGTCACAGGGCTGATTTAGCCTTTTATCCTTTACAGTTTACTAAGTACCATTAAGTGGGGTAAAAATAGCTTCTGACCAACACCCTTGTGGGCAACCCTGGAAGCCGAATTCATCTGCCCTTACTCCATACAAATCTTCAATGAATGCCGGCATCCTTCATAGCCTCCCTTTTTAAAGCCCTAATAACCACTAAACATTCCTAACACCTCTGTGAATGATCGCTCCCCATAGTGATTAGGAACATAATGGCGCTCCACTGCACTCCACTAGCCACAATACATCTACTGACCACAGAACTCAATCAAGCAGGTTACGCAGGTGAAATAACTTCTAACCACAGAAGGTATGCTCCCATGTGCAATTTTAGCAGAACAGTTGTAACTTCTACATGTGGAATTTTTCCATTTCTCCGAATTAAACATGCCCTCTGTGGCGGACCAAATGGCACCACGACCGGGTGCCTCCGCCAATCGATGCTCCTAGTGCTCACCGAGTACTCCAAATACTCCACAAGACACCATCAGCACCTTAGTCCCCACTTTCAGCGTTACAGCTTGGCTGGGGTCTCGCTGTCCTCCACCCACCCTGAAACCAAGACCAAGACCAGTGGGTAGACCTCTCCTCCAAAAGAGTGTAGCAATATGCTCTTAAAAGAGCAAGTGATTATAATCCCAGGGGAGTATAGTGATATAGCAATCCCCAGGGTAGATACATCCGTTTCCCCCACACATGAGATGAGACTCTATGTTGAGGGTAAGCAGGAACTCATTTAATGGTAGCTACAACTGGCCTTATATGCAAGTCCCCGTGCAAGGGGTACTTCCACCTGGACCTGATGGAAGACTACAGTACAAAGTTACAGACCAATGACAAAGTTGTTCAAGTACATGACACTCCCATACATAATCATACAATCCCTCCCCTCTGCCTGGGAGATAATTGAGTCTAGTACTGTATTAACTCAATTATCACCAGACACAAAAACTATTTTTTTTTATAAAACCCCCCAAAATACCTTTAAAGCATACAAAATCCCCACAAAAGTTATAGCCCCGATCTGGGTGAACAACATATCCAAGTATCACCCAGATCAGTTCAGAGGTTTAGGAATTTCCTGGAAGTCTTATTTTTGACCGACCGCATGCCCAAAACAGTTCCAGAGAATCAGGGCTTGCGGTCGGTCTAGTTTGGTAGTTTGGAAAACAAACAAACTACCCAACATAGTCAATGTTCTTACCCTGGAGCTTGTTGCCCTCATCCAGACGAACAATTTCACCGAATGTATAGAACCAAACGCAGGCAATGATGGAAGTCCAGCGGTGTTCGGGAGTTTCTGTGTCTGATTTTAGTTCCATGAGATTCACGCCCAAACAACGCTGCCTGCGTTCATGCGAACAAGATGGCCGCCACCTCGTGGTTGTCCATAGGAATTGCGGCCACCCAGATGAACAATTCGAACACTGCAGTGAGAACTGTTCCGAGATGTGAATAGGTGTTATCAAGCTCCAGGGTGGTCTCTGGTTCGTACGTCTGTTCGGTTCCCGAACAGGATAGCAAAAAGGCACGAATAAGGTCTTTTATGAGCCTTTTGGCATGACCCATAGTACTGAGGCAGGAGACTGGCAAACAGGCCCCTCCAAGAACCAGTGGTGAGGTTACTTTCGCCACACCCTACTCTCCCATGACGTTGCCTACTTAAATGAAGATACAATATCTAGATTTGCGAAATTGTGTCTTCAAAAGAAGGTAGCTGGGGGGGCGGAGCCTGACTGTGCATGGAAATGGCAGCTTAACTCCCACGCTCTGCCAAGACCCAGCCTAATCCACAGCCATCACTGGCAACTGAGCCCCATAAACCCCCTTATTCTCACCTTCACTCAACCTAACCCACACCGATCCCCGTATACCAAATGGATGGCGGAAGGAAATCATGAAACTCAGCGGGTTGCACCCATCTTCTGTGCTCGGCCCGGCGCCATCTTTGACTCACTCTCAGTCAGAATCGGACTCTGATATGAGCAGAACCGCGACCGTGGACATGAAAGGATTCTTGGCGGAATTTTAAAAATCTGTAGCGGAGGAGCTGGACAAATGACTGCTCCCGATAAAGGAAGGCATGGCGGAACTCGCAGCACGGGCCCAAGTTACAGAGCACAAAATGGAGGAGGTGGCCGAAGCAGTGAGCTCTCATGACACAGACCTGCAGGATCTTAGAGAGCAGCTTCGCCTCTTGGAAGAAACAAATGAAGACCTCAGCAACAGGACCCGCCGGAATAACATCCTGGTAAGAGGATTACCGGAATCGGTATCCACGGAGCTCCTTTTGGACACGCTTACATCGGTGTTCCAGACCCTCCTACTCACAGCAACAGCAGCGGACCTCCTCATGGACTGAGTCCATCGCACCCCACGGGCACCTACTGCGAACATAGCACCCCCAAGAGATGTCATTGTGCGTATGCACTTTTATCATATAAAAGACTGCCTAATGCGAGCCTCCAGGGAGACCCCCATCGACATACAAGGCGCACAAATCCAACTATACCATGATCTGGCACCCACCACACTACGAAGACGACGTGAAATGCGCCCACTTACACAGCACCTCACTCACCATGGTATTTAAACTCATAGCCCGCAAGGACAATAGATTCCTTACCATTTCACTGCCCGCAGAAGCCGCAGAGCTACTGGACAGGCTGGGCCTACTGCCTGTAACCTTACCTTCACATGACCAGCACCCGGCAAGACCAACTCCAGTAGCACCGGGATGAAGAAGACAAACACGGGAATCAGACCGCCCAGCAAGCAAAAGACGGACATTTCTTCTCGCCTCAGCACTATCTATGCTAGAGGCTACAGTACCCATTAAGGACCCTCTATGGCTCAGGTTAACCTACTTCCAATCCCTTAATGTAGGACATAAACACGGCAAATAAATGTTAGACATGACACACAGTGTCAATTTGTGGATGTCAGCCAGTTATACTGATAAATATGGTTCTTCAATTGTATAAGTCATTCTGAAACTTGATTTCACTGTCCTGCATCCTTTACTTCTGTATGTATGTATTCTTTTTAATAAATATCCAATAAACACCATTTTTGAGTCAACCATGCTCAGGTCAGCCCATGCACAAGGCTCTGTTTAAGCAGTCTAGTATAATCTGAATGCCAAGTTAAGTCTCTGCAGGACAATAATTCAGACCCTGGCACCAGGAGCAATATCACTGGTCCATGCTCATCCATGTGCAAGTGTACAAAATGGGAGTCTATGGAAGCTCAAACAAGGTCAGATCCTCCATGGATTGTCTTGCGCATGAGCTGTTCTCATCAGTTGTCTCCAGTAAAATCTGATGGGGGATAGCAAGATATAACAAGAGGATTTCTTTTCTTCTCTTTTTTAATGCTCAATCTTTTTGCCCAATTTTGCCAAAAATTCTCTTGTTAATATCTGTCCTTTCTTCTGATAGCTTTGGTTAACTGAATTTACAAAACAATCTTCATAATTGCTTTTTAAATGGATCTATCTTGTCTCAAAAATTTCACAAGGCTACATAACCATCCTTACCAACCGCCCTCCGTCCCCCAAATGATAACCATTCAGTGGTCTTAACAGAGAACCTTAGATTGCAAGCTTATTGTAGTTGAGCTTCCATCATATCTTGGTTCCATTTGCTTTATTTATATTATCAAGATTACTTTTTGGTATCTTGTATCTAACATACAGCACTGCGGGGTATGTGTGCACTATACACAAATAAGAACTTGATTATATTAGAACACAGGGCCCAGTTAACAGTTTACTTTAAAACCCTCGTTTGTTTAATTGTATATGTTTTTTAGGGAAGAGGAGATATCCAGTTTAATGTCCATCCCATGGTGTGGGGCCTTTGGCACGTAATAGGTTAAATAAGGAGTCATCAAACCGGTGAATGGAATGGGTTAAATAAAAAGCCATCAACCCTGTGATTTTCTTAAAACAAGAAACTGTCCCCAAGCAAAACTGCAGCACAGAAGGGGGACTTGCCCCAGGAAAATATCATCTTTGAAGTGATACCCCCAGTTGTGTGCAGGCTTTGAAGGTTTGCTCTTGTCTCCCTAATGCTGAGGCTTTGATGTTCGGAAAAGGAGCAGTTTGTAATTATCAGGGAATATGTTTTTTTTATCAAAAAAATAAATAAATCAGGGTATCATTTTGAAAACCATGCATTGTTTTTTTTTTTTAGGAAGAATAATCACTTTATATTGAGTTTTGAAGTTTTATGTCAAATGCCACCGCTGCTTGTTTGGTGATAATAAGGAAAAACTATTAAAACTTCATAGTACGGAATATTCCCAAAAATGAAAGTATCGAGCGCAATGGTAATGTATTCTAGTGGAATAAGGGTGTTTAACCAGACAATAGGCTTGATTCCATTGTCATTGGGGAAAAAGCAGAAGTTGTGATGTATTTTCCACAATAACATTTACACAAAAAAAAAAAAGTTAAAGAAAAATGAAAATTCAAGGAGATGTCAAAAACGTTTTGTTTCCGCTTTGCAGTGAGCAATCTATTTTTAGGATACGAATAGTTTTGTATAAAGAGCAAAAATTTAACCTTACCGAAAATTAACATGAGGTTGCTTAAATTTTAATACAAAGTGACCGAGTAATAAAAAGACTTGAATAGACGGATATGAGCTGATTGCGTCACGTTCGTATGGTAGATTCTTACAACAATGGGTTCTAATATTCACTAAACAGCATGCAGCAATGAGTGGAGGAAGGGGGAATAAAACTACTAATCTCAATCCTAGCTAGCTAATTTGACCTAAATTTTACATTTTGAATGCCTTGTTTAAAGGACTACTCAGGGCACCATAACAACTTCATCAAACTGAAGTTGTTATGGTATTAGGAGGTCCTTACCTTAAGTGAAAAATTAGTAAACAGTTTGATCCCAAAGTCTTCAATCCGGTGCCCGACAGCTATGCGTCTTCACTTCCGTTCCAACCTAAGGCTTCCATCAGGATATCTCAGACCGGACGCCATTGACACTGTCGGACTGATCAGTAGCTCTCCATTCACAAATCATAGCAAAAAAAATAATTTGGGAATGGGGAGCCACATGCTCTCAGAAGTGCCCGGCCTGAGGTTTCCTGAGTGACGCCTCGGACAGGAACTGAAGTGAATGGAAAGAGCTGCGGGAGCAGATTGGAGAATTTGGGATTAAAGCGTTAATGGTTTAGGTAAGCCAACACTTGGGACCTCCTCTCACCATAACAACTTCATTCTGATAAAGGCGTTATGGTGTCCGGATGTCTTTTTAAATGTTGTTTTATTCGCCAAATTGTAGAGAATTGACAGAGGAATTATTACTGTTAGGCTAAAGTAACAGAGCAGCAAAATAAACGTTGCTGTTATTTTAGTGGAACGTCTGCGTTATGTTGGAGGCCGAAGCAGGGCCAGGGTCGGGTGTCAGCAGAACCCTGTTTTGAGGGATGCCATGCACCATAACTACGGCAATTAGATGTAGGGGTTACGGTTTTTAGAATGCCCCTGGAAGAATCCCAACCGCTCAATTTCTTTGAAGACAGAACAGGAGGTGGCACTCTAAACAACAAAAACTTTTACTTTCTTTGGAAACTTTATTTCAGTGACAAAAGGCTTAATAGCAGAAGCTTGAAAGGACAATGGACATTGTTTCCAAAACATCTTTCTCTTTATCCCAAAGACACTTATTAAAAGGACCATCATCTTCATCTCAATGGTGCAGTGATCCTCCAATTTAACCATTCAAGGTAAAACACACCTCCACTGGTTGTTACACGAACAGCCACTAGAGGTGCTTTTATTGTACATGCAGCGGAACTCCCATAGGAAAGCAGTGATTCAATGTTCTCCTATGAGAAAGCTGGGATGAGGAGAATTGGACTGGACCACACTGACAATGCTTTCTCCATGACGTTACAGGAAGTAGCTAAATAAGGCTCCTTCGGCACTGGAAATAGGCAAGAAACAAGTTTTTAAATTTTTTTATTGTTGAGACACAAGGGGGCTCTGTCGGGGGATCTATAAGTAGGGACAAGGACTCCAAAGCATTAACTGTATACAAATATGTTAGAGATACGCACACATATATATTTGCAGGAAAATAATATTATTAAGAGGTTTTGGAACCCTAAGAGCATGGAACACAGATAAAGAGGTTCACTGATGTTTCCACAATTCTTCTATACAGCTCTGTTGACCATACCAACCCCATCCTCAGCAGTCAGTGGTGATTGGCAGAGAGCATAGGGGCGGTTTGGCCTAGCGCCCTCATCCTATTATTGATGTCCATGCTGGGTGGAGGTGAAATTGATCATGCCGAAATGCAGTTAGCACTTTCTCAGTGCGGCTGCCGAGATGGCGGGGTAAGAATGCCAGGAGAGCCCTGTTTTTTGTCACACGTCTCCTGATTAGCCATCAGTCCGGCTCTGTATTGAGAGAAGAGAGGGAAAGTTCAGTGCATGCGCATGGTTATCCATTCTTGCGCTGTCCTTGTAATGACAATAAAGACATTTAAGCCGAAATAAAAGTGATTTAGTATCACTCAATATACCGCTGGGGCGGCATGCTCTCCTTACAGGCTGGCACGTTCTCCATGATACCAGTTGTGCCATGACATGCCCATCCCTCCCTCTCCCAATATCAGACCTGCCGAAGTGTTCTAAATTTTGGTTCCTTAATCTTCTTTATTTTATTTTTAATCAAATCATTTGGATCTCTCCATAATCCCATTCTCTCTGCCCCTTCCTTCCAGCCTGTAGTGCTTCCCTATTTGCTCCAAAAATAATATTGTATGTGACTTAGATCTCTAAAATAGAAAGCAGACAAATGAACTACAGCTCCCAGAAACCCTTGCAGCATCTGCAATGCTATTTCTGGCAGTGGTGCCTAACCCTTGGGTTGAGACCAACAATTGGGGCCAAGCTACATTTGTGGTCCCTTTGGTTAGAACAACCAAATCCTATTCACCAGGCAAATAAACACAGGAGACGTGAAGTTATACAGGGGTACAGTAAAAACAGGATATGATACTATATAGAGGTACAGTAAGTTCAGGATATCATGTTATACAGGGTACAGTAAGTATAGGATATTATGCTATATAGAGGTAAAGTAAATAAATAATATGATGCTATACAGAGGTACAGTAAGTATAGGATATGATGCTATACAGAGGTAAAGTAAGTACAGGATATCATGCTATACAGAGGTACAGTAAGTACAGAAAATGATTCTACATAGAGGTACAGTAAGTACAGGATATCATGCTATACAGAGGTACAGTAAATAATATGATGCTATATAGAGGTACAGTAAGTACAGGATATGGTGCTATACAGAGGTACAGTAAGTACAGAAAAT